AAGGGTAGCATTAGCATTGTAAGTAAACATTAGCTTTTCTTTTTTTTTTTCAGTAAGAGGTTTTTATTTAATAGAATTTTTGGACAAAAAAAATCGCAATACATCACATTATATTGTCTTGCTTACAGTATCGCCATATATCGGGATATATTGTATTGCCAAATTCTTGCCAATACACAGCCCTAATATACACGCATGTTCACAACTGCTCACAAACAGGTGTTCTGATCCGGGGGTTCTGACTGGTCAATGAGTGTGTATATACGTCTGTGTGTATATACTGACAATATTTATGAATGTAGGCATGTATGGATGTATATCTTTATTTATGTATGGATATGTGTATATTTTTATATATGCCCTCTATGTATTTATCCATTTATTTTTCAGGTGAGCGGACAGATGTTGGGTGTGTGGTCCTGTGTTTTGTTGGTGTATATTTGATATACTTCTAATCGCTATTTCAATCTTTCTATCTTTCTAATTACTTCTCTGTTTTTCTCTCTGTCTCTATTTTCTCTTCACTTATTAAAAAAATTTGCTCTAACTTTTTATTTTTAGGCATACGTAGCAAAGTTTTGTATAATTGGATAGAACTTTTCGAATCCTTTCTAATGATACATTTGATGTGATGTAATAAGGTACATAATTAAATGATATAACGGCGTGCCATACAAAAAACAAAGTGGAAATGTGTCAAAGAGGCTAATGTAGCCTGTATTTTCATTTATACACACCGACTTTTGATGCAAGTATAATTCGTTAAAAACATTTCGGTGTATCTAAGCTTTTCACGCAGGTTACACCTTGAACATTTAAAAATAAAACTTTTTGATAAAGTAACAGCAGCCTCATCTGAAGCCTTCATAACTGCCTGCTGTGCTAAAGCTAACAGGCTAACGGTTGCTCGCTGTCAGACATTTCTACTCACCTCATGTTTTCTATGTCTCTGCCTCCGCTTTTCAACAAACACAAGGGGATCCCCAACAGGGCCAGAAACATCATCCAGGCCACGTAGAAGAACTTTTTGAAATAAAAAACAAAGGTGGTGCTGGTCCACATCAGGAGAGGGAACAGCAGCAGAGGCACCATCCACAGTCCATCCATGGCAGCAGCGGCGAAGAGGAGAAACTCGCAGCCCGAAACAAGCAGCCCCCTCGCGGGGTCGGAGGAAGAAGAAGCTACGGTGGAGGCCGGGAGAAGGGAGGCACCGAAACCCCCACAAACATCACCCAGTCAAGGAGTGTTCCGGTTAGTGCTGCCCGGTGAGAACGATGCTGGACCGTGTCCGAATCAAATGGACATGCAGCGGTGCTCATCTGTTGCTAAATGGCACGAGGTGGAGTCAAAACCGTGTTTCTGTTTCCGGTCGGTGATTCACGTTCAGACGGGTTTTTTTTCCACAGCTGTATGTGTTTTATTTTTTTAAACTAAAAACATCATTCATCTTTTTTTTTTTTAACTTATATTGTTGGGAGATTAGAATGAGATAATATTTAATCTCTTATTGGACCACAATGGAAAGAAGTATTTTTTAACTTTCTTGAGTTTTCCAAGTGTTTTATGGTATGGACTTTTTTTTTTAATCTGTCAGGGGCGCCAGCAAGGGGGGGGGG